GGTCAGCCTCAAAGCCCGTGAAAAGGCAGCAACTTTAATCTCCCGCTGCCTCTTTTTCTAGTCGAAGTCTCCTAGGCAATCCCCAAAGACCAAACAAAACTACAACTCGCATTAACTGAAGTTCTCATGACGCCGCTGCTAATTTAACGTGGCTTCGCATTTTACAGTGATGTTGGTGTGGGGAGGAAAAAAAGCCCTGTAAACTGCTTCTGGAGCAGAGGCTTTAGAAGAACACTGTGACTCATTTATACAGCCTGCCTGACGTAGCAAAAAAGTGTAAAAGCGGTGAATGGTTTAGTTATGATCACTCTCCGAGCGCCCCGCTCAGAAGCCAGATTTGTAAAGCTCATGCTTCATAAAGGGTGCCAGCTGGGAGTTAGATAAAAGGCTCCTTAATTTAAAAAAAATCCCAACTTGCTGCTTTTCTTTTTGCCATTAAAGTTTTGGCAGTGCTTACGTACGTAGCCTTAATTGCTGTATCTCATGCTTTGTCGAAAGCTGGACTGTTTTGTAGCCTCAGGAATTCTTCACTGTCGGCAGTGCTGTGGCTGTTAGGATGTGAACAGTCTGAACCAAGAAATGTTTAATAAACAAAACTGGGTTTGATGCTCTTGTGTGCTGAGGTCACCTGCAGTTTGCACGCGATAGCAGCAATGTGTTTCTTGGTACATGCAAAAAAACATTGTCAAACGCATGGACAGCATAAACCCTTATTTTTTAAAAAAATATTTTTCTTTAAGAAGAAACGAAGTCACAACTTTCTAATTGAGGAAATTTGTTGCTCTTAAAAACTTTAAAAAAAATTGCTGGCAGAGATAAATGTTGAAGAGACAAGGTGCGTGATAAGAATTGAGATGTTAACTTTCAGAGAACTGAGCAGTATATGTAAACCATTACTCTTCTCATTCCTGTGAGGCAAGAAGATACAAAGCCTGTTTTGTAGATAGCAGTCTTACCCTTCCTTCTAAACAAGTTTGTTGCCTAAATTGCACTGCAAGGCACAATTCCACAACTTGGAAGAACGTGGCTTGAGCTGGCATCTTTCTGATCTTTGTTTTACTCTAAGGATTTGGCATTGCTGTTAGCTTTCTTTAAATTTTACATTAATCAAATGGGTTAAAAAGCCATTTTATTCTAGTTCTTAGAAATTATAATCAAATATGACTTGTTCCCTCTGTGTGGTTTAGCGATGCGCAAAGTCAAAATCTGTTTTAAAGCCTCTGGTTATTGTCAGAACATGCCTTCCTGCATGCCGTGATCAGAATCTGGGGAATGTAAGGCCATATGGACAGCCGCACCGGCACGGATGAAAGCTCCGCCCATCAGACCAAAGAATTTACCTGGGAGAGGGCCTAAAAGCAGGACTAATGTAGGTTGATATTTCCATGAAGTTCTGACACTTGCAGTTTGGGCATTTCCCGAGTTTCTTTTTGGTAGCAATACTTACTGATTTTTTTTCTTCCCTGAGCTTATATATAAATTCCTGTGTACTGTGGCAAGGAGTTACGCAGTTCAACTGCCCTTTGCATGAATAGCTACGTCCTGATGTTAATTTTGAACCTGGCTATAAAACTATCTTTATCTGGTGCTCCTTCACACTTATAGTGGAAGAGTTAATGAGTAAATAATCCATACTTACCTTCACATTGCTACTTGTGACCTCCGCTGGATTTTCCTATCTCCCTTTCCCTTTTTATCTCTCTTCTGGGATATTCACACTTAGGAGATCATGGTTCCTATAAGACATAGGATGTTAAGGCTTAGCAAAAGTTGATTTTATTTAGGTGATGATATATTTTAAGTAAACCGTGGGGGTTATGAATGTTGTGCAGACAGAATTGCTTATTCTTTCTCAACAGTTTATTATGCTACTAATACTTTAGTAGTGCTATGTTTATTATGATGATAATGTTACAATAATATGTTAATAAATGATTTATGGAAAGAACTTAGTATTGGAGGATGTGACGCTGAATGTTTGACACTATTTTGCACTTAACATTGAGATAGCTAAAATACGGAGTATAAACATCACTTCACTACATCCTCAAAAACAATCCTACAACAACCTGATGCAAAATGAATCAAGGAGTTCTCATGTATGTTTTTGACAGCTGATTACATCTCAAGTTTTCACTTCAAGCCCTTGATGGGTACACTTCAAAGCTTCCCGCAGTTTCGCTGAACTGTGTAAAACCTTTGTTGCTTGTTATTGCATAACTTGCTCCAGCAAGCTGTAGCTGTTTTATACTTCTGCATTTGCTGATTGCCCATTTAAAGGATCTTTTTCTGTTAAATTTCATGCTTAAAAAAATACGAAGCCAAGTTAAAATAGCTTCGGTACCCAGAGTGGAAATTTATTTTCACTTCTCTTTGAACTCTTGTTTACAGAATTGTTTGGCCTCTTGAGCTGCTGTATTACTGGCTCTACCAAGGCCACTTGAATGCTTACCATTTGTAAGCTTAATCGAGAAGAGCCATGCAATTAAACTAAGGACTGACTGCTGCTTGGGAAAATCGCAGAGCAGAAGCGAAGGCAGTCACTGCAGGAATTCACGATGGGAACATGCTTGTGCTATTTACCCAGACATCATCAAAGGTGTTCCTGGTTGATTACATTTCTGTACTTTGTTTTTTGGACTGCATTTTCTAGGTGCACTAATAAGTATGAATTGCGACAAAGCAAACACCTGCACCCTTGCTTACACAGTTCCATCGGGTGTCTGTGTGTGTGTGCTTTAGAGTGAGGTTGGGGCTCAGTGGGCTGTTGACGTAAAGAGCGATATAATGTGTATGAAAGGGTGGGTGAGCATGGGGAAGAGCAAACAGATTTATGTTAGAAAAATAAGTGAATGCAAGCAAGAAAGTCTGAGAGCAGGAGATCCAAGTATATGCCACAGTAATTACATCTAATGCTCCATATTATGTCATATTTTTACACTTTGACTATCACAGTTGACTTCATAAAGTAGAATAATTTGTTGCCTGTATTCAGGGGTTGTTGTTTAGGTTTGGTTGGTCGGTTTTTTGCTGGTCATTGAAATCTTTATTGAGTGAACAAAGAGATGTGTAATGTATGCAGTTGGTATGCTATCTCAAGATACCTCTTACTTAAATTGCAGGGGATGTAAACTTCTCAAACCATGGTAATGTGAAAAAAAGGAAAGTTGCTATAGCAACTATAAGACAAGTGTACATCTTTGAAAGCTTTTTAGTCAATACATTTGAAATTGCTTATTCAAAGGATTAGGTAATTGATGCATTGATTGATTTGGATGGGTAGTACGTAGCTGGCTGTTAGAAAGTTCTGAAAAGGTCTAAAAAATGAAATACCCAGGGTTGTTTCTACTTGAGT